CAGCCATTATATATGTTATTCCTTTAAAAAAATTGATTAATCACTGCAACCCTATTATAAAATACTACAAAGTTTTTCATTGTAATCTATATATGTAATTCAGCATGTAGCAATCATAATAGTTAACTAGTGTGAATCCTAGCTAACACACATTAGAAAATAAAATACTGTCTTCAATGCTTTTTTCTTCCACATATTTTTGTGATAACACTGGTTAATATTTGGTGAAAATAGTTATTTTCAAAAATATGATAAGCATCACTTTGCTTTAACTAGAAATCTCCATTGAAACCAGAATTTTTGTGATTTAATGTTTTTTTCATATGTATGTCTTTGTTTGTTTGAGATATCACGCAAAGAAATTCAATGGCTTTCTGCACTAGTCATTCTCAATTTTGAACTAACAGACTAGAAGGAAGGTAGCTAATCAACAACACCTACTGCCAACTTTAATCAAATAGTGAGATTTCACAATCACTTTTAAATGCACCCATGGCCCTAAAGCGTGGAGTAAATTTTTGCAACATTATAATGCAGAGCACCAGTCTGACAAGATAACCACTAAGTCTTGCTTAGTCTCTGTATTTATGAATGTTAGTACAGATACACACACTAATTTTTGATGTGTGTACACTTCACAAGTATAAAAACAGTTAAGTTAGTCTCAATGTTTGAAAGAAAGAAGAGCTTAATACTAAAACTCCAAACTTTTAAAGTTACAGTTTTAAAAACTTTTACCAAGACACACCACTCTGTACCAGAGTTTTGATTTTATACATTTAATCTATTGCAAGCATCTTAGTAATTTTGATCCGACTGAGGAGGAATCTTCTAAGTACAAAACTATGCCTTTTGAGTAAGTTTTTTTGTGGTCTACTTCTGCCTTGTGTTTGTTGATGACAATGTTTCGGGCTGTGTGCGGTGTCCTTCTTCACCAACAAATATACAGCATGAGCAGTCCACAAAATAAACCTTTCTCAAATGTTGACCATCCTGCTTAAAAATTCCTTAAAAGAAAACTATGTCCTAGCTAACTGGTTTATCTTGGACCCTCATCTACTCTAATTGCTACAAATCTAATCTGTACACAATTTCTAATGATTTCTACACAATTTCTAACTTTTATACAGAACAATACACTCTATTATATTTGTTACAATGGCATTTACTAGTCAATGTGGGAACCACATATATGGAACAAATATAAAAAATATGATGCCTCATCCAATTGTATACACTTCACACACATACTTTGCAACAAAAAATTAAATAATACTGGTTTAAAAGATGATTTATATTTCTTTCTGCCTAAGTGAACAAAAAAAACTTAACCAATGAAGTGTGAAATTCCTTTAATTATTTTATTTAACTGAAATGGTGTTTGTATTAAATTATTTTAAATCCAAAATTAAAGTACTAAAATGGAATTTGTTTTTTCTTAGGAAAAACAATTCTTAAATTAATAAAATATATTTGTCTTCAAAACAATTATTACATATATAAATACTGCCTTAAAACATTAAACTTCCTTATTCTTTAAAAGTCTGAGAAAACTGAAATGCCAAAATGACTGGAGACAGAAAGGAGCATTTTAACAAATTCAAGGGTATCACTTGAAACAAAAGATAAATCTTGAATATAACCACAACTTGTTATTCAAATGCTGATAAGGCAGTGCCAGCTGTTAGCCACTATATTATAAAGACTGGAAAGAAAAAAGGTTCAAATATTTAAATAAATATCTGTTTTTGATGACCACAGGTTACCAAATAACAAGATATCAAAGTGTCTCAAGCTGTCAGCCATTATTAAGCTACTAGTCACAAATATGAATTCTGACTACAAAGTTGTGAATTGCACAGTCCATAATCTATATACAATACATGCTAACTGAATACAGCAAGTTAGCACATCCCTGAAATAGTTGAACATAGATATTAGCCATAGTCCATGCAACCTGTATTCCGAGCTACAACAGTCTGCAGATCCAAGTTGTCTCCTCCACCTACAAATGCCAGCAGTATGGTGATGTCATCAGGTTTACCACCTACAGAAAAAGTATACAATACCATTAGCTGTAATATTACTATTGAAGTTACATACCAATACATTCATAAACTGTTTAACCCTTTTGAGACAGGTCAGGGGTGAAAGGTCATGCCATCTCCTTTGTTGACTCGCATTCAAAATTATATTGAACTACTATTTCATGGATTTATGTCAATAAGTTTGGTATCAAACTGTTGATTATAATTCAAATTTTATTACAATACATTACTCAATTTATTAACTTAGAAATAAATAATAAAAAACACCAATATATATATATATATCGATTTTTGTGTCTCATGGTATGTTGAATGCAGCAGTAGTTCAAATGAGATGCTTGTGAAGTCAAAATACTAAGTCTATAATTTTGTATGAATTAGAAACGCAAATTACTGATATTGACAAACTAGAAGATAAAATAATAACATCTTATCTTTTATATTTGCTGAGATAGTGCTCATGTAATAAATCAAACAGAATGGCACCCTAACATCTCTTCCCATTTTTGGAAACACTTCCTTCTATATATGACATGAATAACCAATCAGAAGCTCAGAAAGTCTCCCTAGTGGTTTTCTCAGCATTTCTAGCATGGCTATTGCCATTTCTTTCTTTTGAACCAAAATTTCAATGAGGTAGGTTTTGTCTTTAGTCTGCACAAAATTTCATATTTTGTTAAGAGTAAAATGCATCTTAGTTACTAAGCTTGATAAATTATAGTTGAATTCTATGGTACTGATGTAGTAATTTCTGTATTTTTTAGTTATTCAAATGTATTTATATAAAACCTAAAAAAATTATTTTGTTTCATATCCTCCACGTGCAAAATGTTTAAAGGCTTAGCAGCCTATGTCAAGCAGCAATCAAGTACAAAGGTAGTAACTAGAAGAGAATTGTTTGCTTTACTTCATTTACTGTTCTATGTTTTAAGAAAAATAACTTTAAGAACATATTTCATAATAGC